CAGACAAAAATGACATATTTGGCATCCCTGTGGCTGTAAAGAAGATTAATACAAAGGGTAATTTGAAAATCAAAAGTCAAGTCAGAAGGGTAATTTCATTATTTTTCTTAAGCATAACTCAATGTACATGTACAATTTATGTAATCAACTTAAACAACAAAGTGAACCGATATCTCTACTGTACTGTTTGTTGCAACCTAATAGTTTTTTTTATAAATGCAACAATTGTCATATATTGTAGTTTAAGCTGTTTAAGTCTGTGTGTTTGAGAAAATTTTCATTTCCTTCTTTTTCGATTTTGTAACAAGTGACTAAAATAATTAAAATTGTCGACTTCACAGGTTTACTAAAGAAGATTAAAACTGATAATCGCAATTCTTTCATTTTAGGAGAAAATTGCGTGTAGACTGATGAACCCATTTATACTCCCACTTCTAGCTGTTGTTGAGAAGTCAAATGAGTAAGCTGAAACAGTATTGTTTAATATTTGTTTAATGTTTGACAAGGTTCTGCTCTATCATCGCCTGCCAGTTTTGCCATAGGGGTATCTTTATAATATCTGTACTCACATCTCATATACTGTCCGTCGAGTTTTGTGTGTCCAGGTTTTTACATTATCTATTGTCTGACTCCGGTGCTAAAAAAGGATAAAAAAACATTTTTTATGCTCCCTTAATAGAGAGCATATTGTTGCTGCTTTGTTCGTCCACCCATCTGTTCGTCCGTCAGCATCTTTTCCTGGACATAACTCTGAAACTTCAAGAAATATCAACAAAAAACTTTTAAAAATATGCAATGCATAAAACCTTAATTATGCCTTGCCTAATTTGGAGTGATTGTCTTACTTTCAATTTTTACATATTGAAATTCGTCCGGGCCATAAACTACTTGAGTAGGATACTACGTCATCGGGCACCTGCTAAATGCTCCCACTCAGATTTTTTTGCAGAAAATTCGTTGACTCGAAGGTAACTATAAGAAAAAGAAAGAGTATCAAAAAATTATGTAACGCACCAAATAATTGATTTTATTGCCTGAATTAGGCCTGAAAACAGGAAAAGTGTTTTTCTCTAAATGGACTTTTCACGAAAGAAGGAAAGAGATAATGTCACCAAAAACATTATATTTATTTGATTGGCACCAAAGCTAAAATTAGAAATACCTTTAAATGTCTTCTTCTACAGAACTAATTGATGGATGATCACCAAATTTTGTATGTAGATTCTTAGGTAGTCTTTTATATAGTTAGCTCATAATCATCTGATTGGCTCCTAAAACGCTTTAGCTGAAAATAGAAATACCTTTAAACATCATCTCCTACTAAAATTAATGCACTGCGAAAAAAGACATGGATATACGGAAGTGTACGGAATTCCGTATATCATTAATATACGTGTAAGAATACGGGAAACTTGAAATACGGAGATGTACGGGACCGTATATTATATTAGTCCGTATATGACTAGTATACGAACTCCGTACACTCGTAATATACGGGAATTTTGATGTACGAAGTCCGTATTTTACTAATATACGGAATTTTTATGACAAGTCCGTATATTACTAAAATACGAACTTCCGTATTCGTGCAAATACGGATTCTGTATATAGAAATAGCGAATGATACCGTCAGTGCACAGACCGTGTAAGACATCCACCTGTAGCATGCAGACGCGGTATTCTAGCTCAATACCGCTCTGTAATAGCGAATACTTTACAATTGCGATTGACGATTAGATAGTACGTTTTTGTATTTTGCATCTATGGTGAATCATATTATTTTGTAATTTCTTTTTCATTATCATTACAATATTTTATAATGATGAGCCAAACATGAGAAAATGATAAATTTGAAATTGTGATGTTCAAAACATGAATTGATTATATTAAAATCGTGAATGTGTGAAGTTGAAATAGTGAAAGTTAAAATAATTGTGAAATCAAGAAGATAAATTCGGGATTGTCCACACAGCATTTAACTTTTACGTTAATATATCTCCTACAAAAAATAGGCTATACATAATATAATATATGTACTTGCATATGTAAATAAAAATCAACAATGATATCTCATTCATTTATTCATTCATCACTCATATTCATTCATTCATTCATTCATTCATTCTTTCATCATTCATTCATTTATTCATTCATCAATTCAATCCATCATTCATTCATTCACTGAATCAATCAACCAATCATTCATTCATTTATATATTCATTCATTCATTCATTCATCATTCATTCATTCATTCATTCATTCATTCACTCACTCACTCACTGAATCAATCAACCAATCATTCATTCATTTATTTATTCATACATTCATTCATCACTCATTTATTTATTTATTTATTTGTTTAATCTTTTATTTCAGGAAACATAAAGATTTGCGTTTTTGCATAGAAATCTTATGAAGTTCCGAATTCCCCAATTTTGATTCTTTCCGCGCGGTCTCTTTTATGACACAATATTGTGTAACAGCCACGTGCTGTATTGCGATAATCGAAGCCAATACTGATTAAGCCGGGTATTGATCCGGATATTGATCATAAACGCAGCAGGGTATAACGAGTGTCGGTTTTCTCTGATTACGTAAGTAAGCGCAATTGGTGTTGAATGTCTTAACGGTAATTTTTACTGTTTATTTCTAATATAATTCATGTACGAAATAAAGGAACTAAATTGTGATCTCATAATCGAGTCTCTATGTGATTTTGTTCCAGATATTATGAAGATTCGAACCTGACATGTTAAAATGAAACAGACATAGCTGCTGTATTCTTTCCAATGTTTTTACAGCGTCGTGTTGTTACCCTTTTATCTGGCGGAATTTGTTCTTTAAACAAGATTTATCTTAAAGTAAATTCTGAAGTACCCTGCCGCCAGGTCCATTTATATCAAAGTTAACAAGCTAGAATCAGATGGATGTCACTGGAGTGTATGTACATGTATTGTTGATGGATGATGTCAAATTATTCGAAATAGCATTTCTTGAAAAATATTATCATCATCTCCCGAGTTTCCTCGCCTCGTGTTTCTGCATAATTCGGTGACATGAACATTGTTCAGGACAGTGGAATATCGCCGTGCTATGTAAATTAAACATTTGTACCCTGGTTAAAAGAAAATAATGTATCTTGGAAACAGTTTTTGTATAAGTAATTTTCTGTTTAGAAAATAAAAATTGTCGTAGTTTGTTTTAGAAAATCAAGTTAAGAACATAATAAATTATATATTGATAGTAAAATCACTTTTTAAATTTGACTTTCGAATTTTTACCGATACTCCAAATATTCTTATACTGATAAAATTTCATTTCAATTATGAAATCCGCAGATAATATGAAGGGATCTTTATATTTCAATTATGTGTATAAGTAAGTAAGTAAGTAATTTATTTATTTTAGTGACTTAATTATTTTACAAATCTATTTTTTCAACATATTAAATAATATACCCGGCCCAATGGGCCTATAAATCTTCTCCAATAAACATAAAATATTTACATAAAGTCATAAGTGGTTTTATAAAAAAATTAATTTGTAAAAATCGTAGATAAAACGTAATAGAAGTATTGTATATAATCATTGTGTAATTAATAGTTCATAAGATATGTGATTTATTCTATAGATGTATCTATAAATGCTTTGTCGTATTTCATAGGGTGGGAGAAATGTGCAGTTTGACCGAAACTCGAACCAGGGACTCCGACTGGGCTATTCGGCCGCTTACAAGCTTTTTCTCCTAAATTAGTGAACAGTTTCTGAACAGTGGCATACTAATACTCCCCTGCTTTATTAAAATGCAAAGATTTTTAAGAGCAAATATGCTAACTTAAACTCTGAGCTATATGCAGCCACGGTAATCCCGTTGAGCGCAAAGTATCATAGGGTAAGAAAAATTTTGAACCTGACTGGCACTCGAACCCGAGACCCTCAAGTACCGTTCAGGAACTAACGACTGAGCTATAGATCCGATCATTAACACATTTTCTCCTCTAAATAGTGAACAGCTCTGAACCGTGACACATATGTCAATATTGTTTATGTACTAAAGTCAATAATAATTACAGTTTATGTACTAAAGTCAATAATAATTGCAATTTTCAATGAGTATTACACGTAATGTATATATGTATATATCAATTATGACAACAGATGCAGAATTACATGTGAATATGTATATATTATTGTGTAAGTATTAAGATAACCGATACAGAATATATGTGAATATGTGAATATTATTTTGTAAATGTTAAGATTGTTATTACTAAACGTCAACATACTTGGGCAGTGTGTAATTCATATCAGTTAAAATTGTGATACTTCAAAGTTTTTTGTTCTTAAGAGATTTAGCGTTGAGTGTAATGTACCTGGTAAGAGACTTGTAAGTTATATATTAATTTTGGTATTATATATGAAACTACATGAAAATTTGGCAGGTTGTTTTTTTATCAATCAAATCGATCATCTCCGTACATTTTATGATTGTTGATATTATGTATATATGTTGATGTCATACACTGTTAATTATTTTGTATGTTTTGTGTCCTCGTGGGCTTTAAAGCCTATTTGAATGACTGAAATAAAGTGTCTACTGCAGAATAGAAATTGGGACATAATATGAATAAAGTCCCAAACAGAACAGTTATTCCATTAGAATAAATAAAAAAAAAATTTTTTATAAGTACTGAGCTTTCAACACATATACATTTATTTAATTATAGTTGTCTAACTAAAATAAATGATAAATTTTACTATTAATAATCAATCTTTTATTAAAGCAATTTGATATTTTAGAATTTTGATAATTCGTCTCATCATCATCATCGTCATCATCATCATCATCATTATTATAAAAAATAAATAACCGATTAAGTATTAGAATCAAAGATTTGCCTGAAAAATATCAATGGATATACATGTATGCAAAGTTATAGTTTATAGATACATGATTTTCCAATTTAATTTTGCATTATAGTAAATCAAATTAAAGTCTTAGTATGCTTGTTTCTTCTGCATTATCACGAACCAGTCACCTTTATTAAATCCGTGGCATTATCTTATATCCCAGGCATTATTAATGCGAAATGCTTTATTACACAAACGGTATCTAGGCATATTATGTTTTTCAAAACAACCAATCAGTTTAAAGCGTTGGTTTTGTATCACGTGAATCCTATCAACCAATCAGAAATAGCGCGGGCGAAATGAAAAAAGAAAAAAAATCGCGATTGGAAATGGATATTAAAAATGCAGAATATTGCAAAACAAGGTAGGTTAAACGTTTTTTTATCATTTTAATATCAATATGCGATCAATAGAATAGTTGCATTTTGTGAAGAACAGCTTATTTCAGGTTTAAACTGATTTGTTTTGAGAAAATTTCAACACTGTTTAATCTGTTTCGCTATCCAAAATGGCCGCCGGATTAGATAATTAAAGCAGGGATATATCCCTAAATTTAGACTGGGAGGTCACAAGTTTGATTTTGATTTCTATACTGTATCTTGTTTATTTAATAATTTGTTATCTATGTCTCTGAAAAGGGCATTTCTTAAATTCGTTAATCATAACAGAGACATAGATCTATGTCTCTGATCATAACTTTCCTTTAGGGTAAAAAAGACGCTACGTTAAAAATTACGACATTTAAACATCGATGATGTCAAGGTATTACTGCCCCTGGACACGGTAGTACAAAGGGATTAATCAGTGTGTGTGTGTGTGACACGACCTATGTATGCTTGATTGGTCAACTGATCTGGAATTGGACTTTATAATCTTGAGCGATCTCAATTATCACTTAAATTCAGGGGTGCGAATCATGTACATTCAAGCACGGATTTATATTACATAATATATAAGTAATATAAATCCGTGATTCAAGCGGAAAGATCATATCGACAAGTCACACTCAAATTCTATTTATTATTATAGTATTGTATGAAATTATTAGCCGAAAAATAGGTTATTTTTTATCTATTTTATAATAACAAAATTAAATAACAGATTTTAAAAGAAAATTGCTTAGTACTTCCAAAAAATATGTCTAGAAATTTTTAGATAAAATTGTCTTTCTCAGTCTTGATAATTCAACGAGCAAAATACTTGTTTTATTTTCGCAAATATAAAAATTCCCATTACTTGATGCAAACATAAATCAATTTAAAGACTCTTTTAAGTTTTAATCACTTTTTTTAAAGTTTCTGTACACATGTTGTTACATATCATTTAAATTAACCTACTATTAAATGAATAAAAATCTGAAACAAAAATAGCAAACAAATAATTCTTTTTTCATTTAAATCATTATAAAAACAGACGAAGAAAAAACTTGAAAATATTTGTCAGACTTTTTTATTTACATTAATACAAAGAATATATCTGTATAATTGTCTGTAATATGGCCGACAGATGGTACATTTAACAGTTTTTTCACTTACACTGGTGTCAAAAGATATGTGTTTTTTTTTACTTTGATACAAAGCTAAGATCACGAGCTGTTGGTTTTCATTCGATATTCTTGGTTAGTTATCTTTGTTGTTCAGGACTACCCAGATTTTAAATTGTACTAGTATATACATGTACTGAGTTTTCAACATTTACATTAAATTTTTATTAGACAAAATAAAATTTTAATATAGTGTTTTTCTAATTATAATTAAAACTCTTTATTTAGTTTTTAAGATAAACATTGCACATAAGATGGTATCGCATGGGTCAGTCACAAACAAGCGCCTGTTTGAGGAAACAGTTATTTAAAATTTCGTTATACATAAATTTAAACGCTTGAAAAACTGTATTGAGCATTTGTACTTCACAAATTTTTCGACCTTATATTTCACATAAAGCGATATGGTAACACACGCACGCACGAACACACAAACATACGTAACTACACATAAAAGTGAACACGTTCCTACATTATGAACACTTTCGCACAAGTGAAGACTTATGAAATATTTCCATTGTGCTCTTTATGCTGAAGTTATTTTATGTTTTTTACAGGACAGTGTACAGCGTGATTGAAATCTTCCAGAAATGCAGCTGTGCCCTCCTTACAGCAATTATTGATGAAGCAAAGTATGGTAGCAAGTTACATAGATGTAAGTTCACGTATATACATTGTATTTTGTGAATAAAATAAGACAATAACAAGGACGTACTGTCTGTGAAAAAAGTTACACAGACTCTTAATCATATATTCAAATTTGTACTGACAGCATGTGTTTTATTCTTTCTCAAGGCAAAGGCAAAGTCAAATTTCCTTAATTACACGCATTTTATTTTGACATTAATAAATGTGGTTAGTAATAAATACATTGGTTCTTATTTATATCTTATTAGAATCAATTCTTAGGCGGAATGATGTCATACTTCATTAAATGACGTCAATTAATGCATAAGCATTTTGCAGCGCATTTGAAAATGCTAAAACATCCTTGCCTTTAGTATGCAAAAATCAAATATATAAAATATAAGAAACAACTCGAACACACACATGGTTTGATATAGAATAAGATGCACAATGCATGTGACTTTATTTTATTAAATTATTTTCTTTTAAACATATTACTGTATCCAAATTATATAATATATGTATTTCTTTCCAGTTAAATCACTTCTATATATGGCCGCGTCACGACAAAATCAACATAGTGCGTTTGCGACCAGCATGGATCCAGACCAGCCTGCGCATCCGCGCAGTCTGATCAGGATCCATGCTGTTCGCTATCAGTTTCTCTACATGTAATAGGGCTGGTAAGCGAACAGCATGGATCCTTATCAGACTGCGTGGATGCGCAGGCTGGTCTGGGTCCATGCTGGTCGCAACCCATTATGTTGGTTATGTCATGACGCGGCTCAATTATAATATTTTTATTTACTACGTGCTTGAGCGATAAGTACGCTGCTTTGATAATGTGAAAGTGACGTTAGATTTTCTTTTGTACATGTACACTAAAGTAAACAACCTATGTCTGAATAGGAACAACAGGGTTTTCAGAAGCGAATATAATGTAAGATAAGAATGTCCTGATGGCAAAGTTAGTAAAGTCATTAGAATGTTATACACATTAGATTTTATTTAAATTTTATTTGTTCGAGCCTCACAAGTTGTCTCACTTTTTTGCGTTTTTCTTTCCCTATTTTTTTAAATTTTACATTAGAAAAATGAATTGGGATATAAAGGCAGTTTTGTTATGATATTTAATTATTTAGATATATATGTACGGATATTAGTGATTTTTACCCTGTATAGTGCGTAGTACGCAGTACTATTTAAAACAAAATGAGAAGTTCATACTATCAAAATAGCACAGTATTTATAATCTTTACAAGAAATAATATACATTTTTTGTTACTTGATTGATAATTATAAAGCAATATTTTTTAGAAAAATGTGCAATCCTAACATGGCTGTCTTGCATTGATATATACCACAACCTTACCTACGGCGTTACGCTGACAGTTGGTAAATTTGTTGATAATTTAATTTATATTGCCAGCCTGTTTGAAGATAATAAACACAATATGATAGATGTTTTACACCTGGATAGTGAACTTGACCATCTCGTCACTTAATAATTAAACTTTACGCACAGAACCTGTGCGCACGTGAAACATATTACGTTGAGACGTGCGCACGTAATACTGTCGCATTAGCATGTATTAACTAAAATATTTCCTATGTTATTTTATGCAATTGTCACATATGATACGTATATTTTATTATCTGAATTTGATTTCATACTATCAGATTAATGCAACAGGCAAGGGGGGACATTTCTATTTATAATTTTTGTGAGAATTATCCTTTTATTTTTAGTGATGGAACATTGTAAGAGTTTCTATTTGTTAACTTACCTAGTTAAACAGTCTTAACTTAATTTTTAATCTGCACTATTGTATATTGAAGGTATTCATTCGTTGCTGTGAAGTTGTGATGAGATAGTGGCCACGTCATAGTATCTCCTGACCACGACTTAGCTATCTCGTGGCCACGACTTAGTAACTCGTGACCACGACATAGTTTCTCGTGGCCACGAGATAAATAAAAACACACACATGTCACCTTTGTGCCACCGTACATATCTGTACATTTTAAACATTTTTTCAGAACGAATTGACTCCTACTAACGATGCTGATATACATGGTAAAAACGATCAATAAGGTTATGTCAGCACTATTTCCCAATACAATGTTATTTTGTATTAATCTATTTTTAATCAATAAAATACTCTTTACAGTTGATACCATAATATTATACAAGTGAAATAAATATATTCTAAATGGTTTTATAACAAAAAAAAAATAACTTCTCACCCGTCATAGATTTATCATTTCATTTAGATTTCTGTGTAAATGGTTGCTTATAATTGACATTTTTTTCCTAAATATATAAAATAATTTTGAAATTTGCGTAAGAAAAAATGTATATAATAAGTATGTATACGCTTATATAAAATGCTTGTGTAATGTCGTTTTGAAAGTTGTGATAACTATTTCATGACACTATTTAAACAGGATTTTAAACTCTCTTTTTTCAGATACACACGTGCCAAAGAGATGGTAATATTTGGAGAAAACATTTCCTACGTCACGAAATAGACACCGTCATACTGGTCTACGTAACATTCCTATAGATGATTGATATATAGAACAGTGTTTGAATGACGAATTTCTGTGAATACGGAATTTTAATTTTAATGATTATTATTAAAACTTTCTGCAATAATCCATTTGTGCTATGGACTCATTTTCCTAAAATAATATGTGAATGTTAACACGAACAAATGATATTAATATCTGTAAAATGTTTTATGGGTGTAATATAAGTGGCTCGAAAAAAATCATTGTTAAGATAAATAGAAAAGAACTTCAAGTTGGTATAGTTTGTTCTAGATTTAAATAACATGCAATTCATAAAGGTTACGGCTTGAAAATATCGAAAAATGTTCTGCACTGTGATACGTTTTGCATGACTGTATCGCAACATATCGGTATATCGCCATTCCGTTGTAACGCTACATTAATCTGTTCCTATAGAATGAGGCTTACAACAATATATGTCTGTTGTAGCGAAAACATGTTTATTTTGTTTAATATATGTATACACATTGAATATATGTTGATGAAATAATAAATATTTAAGAGTGACTTGATTTGGTTTTTACTTTATTATTTGAAATACTCCAATTGTGAAGATAAAGTTCTTAAGCATATGAATTAACAGTTCCCATTCACCATGTGTAATCAAATATGTTCTATTGTACAAACCTGCATTTCGGTCATTTATACGTGTCACGTATATGAAAATGCTTTTGATATCATATGTACCCTCTTTTATCTCAAAAATACAGTTCTGTATACCATGTGTACAACTCAAAAATGCAATTCCGTATATCCCCTGTATATATTGAAAAAACGATTCCGTATATCTACTGTATATGTAGGAAATACGATTCCGTATATCTACTGTATATGGAGAATATACGATTCCGTATATTATCTGTATATGTAGAAAATACGATCCCGTATATTCTCTGTATATGAAGAATATACAGTCCCGTATATCCTATGTATACGTAGAATATACGAGTCCGTATATCCTCTGTATATGTAGAAAATACGGTACCGTATATCCTTGGTATATTTGTAGTATACTAGTGATAACAACCTTGATGAAGTCCGTATACGGGATTTTCTTCTCCGTATACTTCAAAAGTACGAACAAATATACGTACATGTATATGGGGAAAATACGGAATTCCGTATATGCCTGATGCATATACGGACTTCCCGTATAACCGGTGTTCCCTATACGGACTCGTATATTTGATCCGTATATTCGACAAATACATCCCGTACACGCCCGTACATGTCAAATATACGGGACCGTATATTCCCGTATATCAGTATATTTTCCGCAGTGATGATGGATAATCACCAAACTTTGTCTTCAGCATTCTTAGGTAGTCTTTTATCAAGTTTGCCCATATTAATTTGATTGGCCCCTTGTAGGGGCCGCTAAAGCTAAAATAAGAAATACCTTTTAAGGCCTGCTCCTACAGAACTAATTGATCGATGATCACCGAAGTTGTCTGTAGCATTCTAAGGTAGTGTTTTATCAAGTTTGCTCATATTAATTTGAATGGGCTCTTTAAGGGGACGCTAAAAATAGAAAAAAAACCTTTGAACATCATCTCCTACTGAAATAATTGATGTATGATCACTAAACTTTGTCTGTAGCATTCTTAGGTAGTCTTTTATCAAGTTTGCTCATATTTGACTGGACCATTTTAGAGCTAAAATAGAAAAACATTTGAACATCATCTCCTACTGAAATAATTGATGGATGATCACCACATTTTGTTGTAGCATTCTTAGGTAGTTTTTTTTATCAAACTTGCTCATATAAATTTTATTGGCCCCTTTTAGGGACCGCTAAATTTAGAAATAGAAAACACTTTAAACGTCTGCCTTTTTAATACATTTTGATGGATGAGCACCAAATTTTGTCTGAAGCATTCTTGGGTAGTCTTTTAACTTTAACTGAAAAGCAGCTGTTACTGGTCAGCGAGTTAGGGCCCTCTTGTTTAAATATAGTCAATTAAATTCAGGGCCATGATGGCCCTCTTGATTTTTTTCTTTTGATCTAAAATTGAACTTTGATATCAACTGAGCTAGATAATTTTACCAAGTTACCTGTAAAACTAGGTTGTTTATATACAGATATGAGTTGGACCAAGTGTACAGTTCTAGATAAAGTGACCTTTTTTCTTGTCCTTTGATGTTCAGATATTACATTTGGACCATATGCATAGTTACAGATGTAGAATTGAACATTATGGAAACAATTCATAGTACATCAAGTGTGACAAAAGCTTCCTTTCAAGAATTTGATAAGAAGAAAAACTGATTTTTTTCCATTTCTTAAATTCATGTAATTGAAACGGCATCCGTGTAACTGTCGTACTAGGTTAACCTAAAACGGCAAATTAGATTTTTCTTAAATTTTACCTGTATCGTAGGTTTCATAATTTCAAAGTTACTAATCAATACAGGGGCAAGTTACATAACTGTGGCTTCCATTTTTAGCTCACCAGAACCAAAGGAGCTATTATTATCAAAGGGGGAAACTTCCGCATCAGTCGTCCATTGTCCGTCATAATGCGTCAACAATCATCGTTTTCTCTGAAATTGATAGGCAAAGATACTTTTCAAAATTTCTGTAGCATCCTTGTGACAGTCACACTTAAATATGCTAATGTAATTTCAATTGGCCCCTTATAGGGGCAATTGAAATAAAATATAAACACCTTTAAACATCTTCTACAACTAAATTAAATGATAGATGATCACCAAATTTTGTCTGTAGCTTTCGTAGGTAATTTTGTATCAAAGTTGCTCATTTTTAATTGATTGGTCCCTTTTAAAGGTCTTTAGAGCAAGAAAATGAAAAAAAAGCAAACAAAACTTTAGGCATCTTCTTCTACAGAACTAAGTGATGGATGCTCACCAAACTTTGTCTGTAGCATTCTAAGATAGTATTTTATCAAGTTTCCTCATATTAATTTGAGTGGCCCTTTTAAGGGGTCAATAAGCTAAAAATACAAATACTTTTAAGCGTCTCCTTTTACAGAACTGATTGATGGATGGTCACCAAATTTTGTCTGGAGCATTCTTTTGTAGTGTTGTATCATGGCCCTCTTGTTTTAAGTTTTTGCTCTTTTCAGCACTATGAAGATGAATATTGTTTACCTAAACCGGCAAGATGGATCTAGCTTAAGTTATCTATACTAATGACTAATTTCCACACTTACTTAACAATGCAAAGTACATCATATTGCCAAGCTATATAACAGTGCCATCAATTTTTCCCAATTATATCCCCTTTTGATAACTTTGAAAATAGGGCCTTAAACGTTTAACATATGCCAGCAAATTAGATTTAGGAATTTTATTATACCAACGACAAACGAAGTTTTAGGGTGTAATCTGTAGTGAGCTGGTGGTTGGTCTGTCCGTTGCAGATTTCCTGTCCCGGACATAACCTAGAATGTAAAACAGCTATGAACTTCAAATTTGTAGGTAGATATATAGAGAAGTATTTGAGTAGAAGTGCAGTGCAAGGGAACCGTTACTCTGTCTTGCCCAATTCTGGAGTTATTGCCTTTTGATTATTTTACACTTTTACATTGTCCGTGACATAACTCTTAAACCACATAGGGTATTAACAAGAAACTTTGTAGGAAGATAGATCTTATAAAGAAAAATAGCATTGTAAAGGAACTGCAACTCTACTTTTCCTCATTTTGAAGATAATGCCTTTTGTTCATTTGTTGAACTTTGTCCGGAAAATAACTCTGAAACTACAAGAGATAACTTCAGAAACTTTAGAGGTAGATTGATTTCATTAGGTAGAAGTGCGCTGCAAAAGAACCTTAACTCTGCCTTGCCTTATTTTGGAATTATTGCCCTTTGGTAATTTTCAACTTTAAACAGTGTCCTTGACATAACTCTTAAACGTCGAGGAGTATTAGCAAGAAATTTTGTAGGTAGACAGATCTCACTGAGTAGTTGTGCATTGCCTTTTGTTCATTTTTACACTTTGAACATTGTCCAGGGCATAACTTGAGAACTTAAAAAGGTGTCAATTTAAAACTCTAAAGGAAAATAATCTCACTGAGTAGAAGTGCAATGAATGAAACTCTCAACCCTCTAGCGTCAAATTTTATAGTTGTTGCCCTTCCTTAATTTCAACACTTGGAATAATATCCTTGACATAATTTAAATTTAAGAACTATTAAATGATAAAAGGTATCAACTTGAAACTTTGTATGAAAAAAGATCTCACTGAGTAAAAGTGCAGAAATCCCAGGGAGAAAGAACATACCGCCCTTAAAAGAAGTCATGAAAACTTCAAATCCAAACTTTGATTTATCTTATTTATGAAGGACAGATAATTAAAAAAAAAAACATTTGAACAAAAATCTATAAACTACTGCTTTTTCGCTATGTGCAATATTATTAACTAAAAAGCATGTTTTCTGACAAGCGCGTGTCGAGGGAGTTCGGCACTAATTCGGCACTGGTTACAGTTTCTATTTTTTCTAAAATGTAGAGTACTTTTAAAGGGGTAGTGAACCAATCCCTTACTCGCAACTACTTTATTTATTTAATGACATATTTTATATTTGGTAGGTGGATACGTTTAATAGTCATGAAGTAAGTGGTTTCTAAATGGGTCACGGTCAATGACACTTATGTTAAAATAAATTAAAACATTTTTGCTTATGCAGCCTTTATTTGCAAGTGAATATGTTTCATGTTTGATACAAACATACCAAGGCAGGTCCTCTTCCTTTGGACATATGGGTCAAGGTCATTTATGTCAAAAATAGATGATTTTATACTGATAGGTGAAGTAATCTTATTCTATTTGGAGATGTATTTTATATAATTTTACAATTTTGCCCACACAAGGGGCCAGTTGGTCAATGGTGCAAATAATAGGTTTTTACACATTTTCTTATACAGCATTCAATGTTTTACCCATTGTTATTGTATTTGGTTGGTTTTCCTTAGAATTGAGTTAAGGGTCGGTTTTGTCACAACTTAACGGTCATGGACTTATAATGTTGAAGTGAAAGCGTTTGATACTATTCATTTATACATGGCATCGTACATTTCAAAATAATATGATTATATTAAGTAAAATAACTGTCCTTTTCTGCTTAACACAGTCTATCACTTATTAAAACAAAATTTGGACAATTCTACTCATTATTTCTTTTTATCATAATTATATTAACTTTTCGATAAATCATATACATGTATCTAGCTGAATACACAAAAAAGTGTTTGAACAAATAACACTTAAACAATTATTTGGCCAGAATTGAATCAGTAGACCCGAAGCAGACATAAATAAAATGCCGGACAGTTAGATTACTGTTAACAGTTTATTATCTTGCAACGCTTTTGGAATTAACTTCACTAATGGCCCGTCAATAGTCTGCTTTCATAAACATAAAATGTTTCAATTTGTATTTAAAAATATAAAGTCACCATAGATGAACAATGAGCAAAACCCAGGTATCTTTGTATCACTTTAAGGTCACTGCTCGGGTTCGAACATTGTCAATTTTTACCACCACTCTTACATGTTATATGTGGGTTATAAATAGAATCCTTCGGGGGCATTTGTCACATTCTGTGACAACTTTTGTTTATTATATGAAGAAAACGAAACTGTGTTGAGAAACCATATAACTAGAGGGGCAAGTGGAAGTTGAGCTTGACTTGCCTGTCGGCATTTTCATTTGAGAGATAATTTCAACACTGAAAAACAGTTGATGAGTTTCTGGGCCATCATGGCCCACTTGTATTTTTTACCAATGTCTCGTATTTACAAGAAAGATACCTAAGGTGGTCCTTCAAATTTGGATGGTGTTTGGGGTCACTGGGTTCAAACTTAAGTCTTGCATTTATGTATATTTGGTAAAGTTGAATACATTTTAACTTAATCTAATTTCATAGCAAAGACTTGCCAATTTATATATTAACAAAAACAAAACACCATGTCTCTGTCAAGTTAAATATTTAACTATGGTTACAACTTTTTTTGAATTTCTGTCAATCACTGAGTAAATGGAAACTTTTCTTTTGAAATGTTGTTACTGACAAGAATCTGAGCCTGTGGCTTTTGTGTTTTACAAACACGTTCTTGTTTGTTCATTATCAAAAGAAGGTAAGTCTGATACTTTTTGTTATGCTCCAATTTCTACTATTTCCGGTAATAAGAAATGCGGAGCATGCTGTTTTGAGACTGCTCCTGTCTCATAGGAGGGGGATAAGGTAGTAAGTTACTGCCACTTGTCAACCTTTTCATAATCTATTATAATAAGTATATCATAATTTAAGTTTTTGAGCTTGCATCTTAATAAAATCAAAGAAATATATTATACACTTAAACAGTTGCATGATACAATTACTTCTTTACTTAAATTATTTTTCAGTGAATGTTGGTTTATATCACCTTATTGCGAAAACGGTGACCTCTATGCTGCTATTAAAAGTGGTAAAAATAAAGAAGATGAAAAGAACAATACAGACAAGGTCAACATAGACAATCAGGATACAAGTGTGAAGATAAACAATCAGGATACAAGGGTGAAAATTTTACTGCAAATTGCATTAGCGATAGAGAATATTCACACTGAAGTACCAAACATCAGGTATCTGCTTACGTATTCCATAATTCCTTGTTGTATTCCATTATTCCTTGTTGTATTTCATAATTCCTTTCGACTTTTCGACAAATATAACAGTATTAAAAACCAACATTCACTGAAGAAATAATTTAAGTAAAGAAGTTAAAAATTAGCAATACAAGCGATATAAACATAAATAATCAAGCGACAAGAGTTGAAATTTTGCTGCAAATTTCGCTAGCGATACAGTTTATTCACACTCAAGTGACAAACGTCAGGTATCTGTTTAATCATTCCTTAAAGATATTTCTTTTTGTCGTACTTGATTGTCTTTTTAAGTTAAGATCTAAATTTTAGTAAATCAAAGTACAATCCAATATTTACAGATTTTTTTTGTGTTAGTCAAGTTGATTTTTACTCACATTGTGTATTTGTTAGTTAATTCAAATTTTTAGATAACATATTTTACTATATTTGATATTAAGTATAGAGGATATGATTTTCTAGGGAAATCCTAGTTTGTTGCCACTGTCATACTTTTCCAGACTCAATCAATCAGTTTTATAGTTTCCTGCTAACTTTCTTCTTTCCGAATTCCAAAAAATCGAGGCAAAAAAGAAACTGAAATTCAAAATAAATCGAGACAAAAAAGAAAATGAGCTCATATTTTTGTTACATTTTCATCATTTATCTGAATAATTTGTGAATAATTCCACCTTAGTACTAGCAAACTTGCCTTCATATTGTACGGAATTGACCGGCATTTTATTAGATATATCTTACCTTAAGATGACTTGAACACTGTTATACAACTGCTTGCTCATGCAAATCGTGCGATATGTTTTAAGCCCACCTGTAACAAAGTGACATGGTGAGCTTTTGTGATTGCTTTTCGTCCGTCCGTAAACTTTTTCTTTAAAAGACATATCCTCATAAACCGCTAAGCCAATTTCATCTTAACTTTACAGGAATATTTCTTGGGTGGTCACCTTTAAAATGCTTCAAAGAATAAAATACCATGCAGAATTCTGGTTGCCATGGCAACGAAAAGAAAAATATTAAAAAAAATCTTTTAAAAATCCCAAAGAGCTAGAGCTTAGATATTTAGCAACATCTACTAGTGGGTCTCCACCAATTTGGCTCAAATTAATGCCCTGGGGTTAAAATTATCCCCGCCACAGGGAGTTCATTGATTTTCTTTATATGTATATAGACAATACAAAAAAGATCTTCTTTTTTAGAAACAGAACAGATCTAGAGTTTACATATATAGCATTAAACGTCTTCTTTTGAGTGCTTAGCAAGTTGTTCCAATAAAATATCTTGGGTCAAAATTGGCCTCGCCATAGGAGGTCATTGATTTTCTTTATATGTTTATAGTAAAAAATTCAAAATCTTCTTGTAATAGCATGAAAGTGTTGTACCAGTATTTAATATTCCATGACAATCTCTATAATGGACACAACGGAAAATACTCATTACCCCTCAGTTAAGTCTTACGTAATGCTTTTAAGTAACAAAATGAATTCCTATACTCATTTCAATAAAGGAATTATGCTTATTCAGGAATGTAGTGATAATGCATAGATTTAAATTTCATTTTATTTTAAAACAGGGGTCCAATTCTTCATAAAGACATTGCATCTCAGAATGTTGTGCTGGATAAACATCTAAATGCACGCCTTATTGATTTTGGACTAGCCCGTGAAAAACACGACGCATCAACAACCTCCGGAGTAAGAACATATTATGAGCATCCTGACGTAGGTGATGGTAAAGGTGCCACAGAATGCTATGATTATTATAGCTTTGGAGTCAGTAAGTTTCACAGCTTACAGAATGCTGTTTTTACGCAATCCGTTTCAACAAATTTAAAACAGTTACATGATTATATTTTTATTAAGGGAAAAATATGCCACTGTTTGGAAGTAACTTTAAAATTTAAATTCAGGTCGAAATTCCAAACTATTCTAAGCCAAAGTCCATAAATGCAAAAAAGGGAAGCAAACAAGTTATTTCTTTTTTCAATGTAAAAGGCTGCAAAATATTTTGTATTAGCAAGCAGCAGTTGAACCAATATTTAGAATGTTTCAGTATTAGCTTTATAAACAATTCAGTTAGTAGAATATGATACCATTTGTTGACAATTTTTGAACATTCAATCCTTTTGATCGTTATTCTGTGAAACTACAATACCCAGAGCTTGAGGTACCTCGCGTATAATATTACCCTGTTGACTTTAACAAAACTGGTATAAATCATGCATTCAGTGCCAGTATTGGTCATGTCTCAGGGGCGACACAGTCAACAAAAACTTATTTAGGAAAAGGCATTCAAGTCTTATATTGTAAAACTAAAATGCCTAGAGCTTTGTAACACAGCATTGTACTGTACACCTCAACAAAGGTGATATGAATCATGTCGTTAGGGTCATTCTTGGGGTTTGCTAATATTGTACAGACTAATTTAGGGAAACTCATATAATTCTGAGGTTGTGTGAAACCTCAATTACTACTAATTAGAAATTAGGCATGAATATGTAGATTTCTAAAAGCTATCAAATTGGTCCGACCTTTTGTGGCACATTTGCCTTATTCGACTAGTGTATATAAAACACATCTAATCTTTAATTTGAAAACAACAATACCAAGAGTAAACAATATTTGGAATAAAGCATTAGACATCTACACACATATTTATGAATCATGAACATAAATGCCCTCACCTGAGGTCATTTAATATCATAAGATGTTTAAAATAAAACATTTTTCGGACAAGTTTCATGACTGGATCTCCTCCCTTATTGAAAGATCATTTTTGATAACTAACTCAAACAATATTTCATTCGATTGTGTTATTTTCCTCCTCGGCACTTGTGCTGCTTTTGCTGACACAGTTAGAATATTCAACATTTTATCAACAGTTCTCTTCTTAGCTTTATAAGTTAAAATGTTAACACCTGTTTTCAACAATCTTTGCAAATAAACGTACATTTTGTTTTACAATATATGTGTATGCTCAACAGATTTTGAGTAGCATCATATGAAATGTAAATATCCAAAGGATGGGAAATAAGCATTTTTATATGCCCGAAAGAATTTCATATTGGGGTCACAAGTTCAAAGGTCAAGGTCACTATGACCTTAAAACTGTAAACAGTTTCCGGAACATAACTTAAGTCCCATTTGTCCAACAGTGTTCAAACTTCATGGGATCATTGTCCATATTGGGTAAAAGACCCCTATTGATTTTTGGGTCACAAGGTCAAAGGTCAAGGTCACTTTGACCTTAAAACTGAAAACAGTTTCCGGAGCATAACTTAAGTCCCATTTGGCCAAAATTTTCAAACTTCAAAGGATGATTGTCCATATTGTGTAGAAGACCCCTATTGATATTGGGGTCACAAGGTGAAAGGCCAAGGTCACTTTTCACCTTAAAACTGAAAACAGTTTCCGGAGCATAACTTTAGTTTCATATGGCCCACAGTGTTCAAACTTCATAGGATGAGTGTCCATATTGGGTAGAAGACCCCTATTGATTTTGGGGTCACAAGGTCAAAGGTCATGGTCATTATTACCTTAAAACTAAAAACAGTTTCCGGAACATAACTTAAGTTCCATGTGGCCCACAGTGTTCAACCTTCATAGGATGATTGTCCATATTGGGTAGAATACCCCTATTGATTTTGGGGTCACAAGGTCAAATGTCAAGGTCACTATAACTTTAAAACTGAAAACAGTTTCCGGAGCATAACTTAAGGTCTATTTGGCCCACAATATTCAAACTTCATAGAATGATTGTCCATTTTGGGTAGAATACCCCTATTGATTTTGAGGTCACAAGGTCAAAGGTCAAGATCCTTATTACTTTAAAACTGAAAACAGTTTCCAGAACATAACTTAATTTCTATTTGTCCCACAGTGTTCAAACTTCATAGGATGATTGTCCATATTGGGGAGAACACCCCTATTGATTTTAGGGTCACAAGGTCAAAGTTCAAGCTATTACATCCAAACTGAAAACAGTTTCCAGAGCATAACTTAAGTTCCATTTGGCCCACAATATTCAAACTTTATAGGAGGATTGCTATTTGAAGGAGGTTATACTTTATTTAATTTATGTAATGTCTTACTAAAAAAACAATTTTTGGGCATATAATGCTCCGCCTAGCGGTGCTCTTTTTGTTTTCATGTGTTTAGCTTTTAAGGTCTCGGGTCAAGAATATGCAGCCATGTTTTTTATCAGATTTCCATAGATCTTACAATAAACATGATTAAAATGTGTCTTAAAGGAATAGGAATGGATGGATTGATGTCTGTCTAATATAAATATTCATCATTTAAAAAGAGGAACCATGACAGTGTTCCTATTGACATCAACCCTATAATAGAGAAATTCGTGTTTTAAGACACTATTTTTTACTTGAGAAATGAGTTTATGGGCGCCGCCATTTCGGCGTTCTGTCATTCTCGCGAGACAGACGAGACCGAGATTGTGACGTGTTATACCCACTTCCGGTATAGGTGTACACGCTGGTACAACTGAAATATATCTTGATGAAGAACTTATTAATTTTATTGCGTACATTATATATTATTTATGAAAACATCATATGGAACTGAATTGCTTTAATTAATTAATTGAAGACGCCGCGACATTAATTATCATTTGTCCGATATTCAAGCTTGCTGATGATCCCACCACATGATTTAAGCAATGACTGCTTAATTTTCAAAGATAAACCATAAATTTAATTTGGGTACTATGAGAAACTTCTTCAATTTGACGATATATCCTTTTATTTTGTACTTAATTTTCGCTAGACAAGCTGTCCAAATAGGGTACATCGCCGGTCATGTATCTTTTTTTCAGGTAAAATATCAACTAAATCCAATATGCTGAGGACGCGATTTTCCGCTTGACGCTAAAAATGAGAAAGGCGCAGGAAAATCGGCAGCCAGACTAATATCGTATGAAAACAAAACTGTCCGTTAGGTTATTTAGGCACCAAGTCAAAACTGGTACCAACAGCAACAGGTTGCCCAATCCCCTATAATTACGCATATTCTCGGGTTTATCCAGTTCCCTAAAGCTTTTTTCCACGTTATCTACTTACCAAATTCCTTTCCCCGACAGATACGCATTTCTACTACCGTAAATTTAATCCAATAAAACAAAAAATCATAAATCTACTTAATATTTAAAATGATTATTGGTAACTGAAAAAAATGTGTTGCTATTTTATGGCGTGCTGTAATTTACTACAGTATAATTTGACAAATGTGGAACCTAATTCCCCCTAAGGTCATTCAGTTCACTGATGAAGCGTAAAAAAATAGATGTCTATTTCGTCATTAGAATATTTGACAAGGGTGATTAACCAATCAGGGAAACATTGTGCATGATTAAAAGGTCTGTCGGCACAGAGGCATACACGGAGCAATAAAAATCGTCAGTACACAGTGTGACAGGAGCATTTGGTGCAAATTAGGAACAATTAAAATGGACAATGCGCACTATTAGACATAAGTAGTAAGAACCAGCAATTGCGTGAATAAATTATGCAAATTAGATTTTTGAGCAGCCAATAAAAATGATTTGCCTGCAGTTAATATTAGGCTACGATTACGATGCGCAGCATCATACGTTGACAGACATGTTAATAATTTACTTTTCAAAAGAGTTGCTTATATTTTTGAAATGTGTACACCAATTATAACATATGTTCACACCTTTAAATTTGAAAGTCAGAATCAAACTGCAAAAATTTAATTATATGTACTATTAAGAACACGTTTTAGTAGGGTTTTTATAATGGAAGTGGCTAGCGTACGGGCTCGTACGGCTAGCCAAAAGTTTTAGCCGTACGTAAGTCACGTACGACCAGCAAGGACACGCTGTATTGGCTAGCCGTACGGCACTTTTCAAAATTTTATGGAAGTCGAAAATGCATATGTTATTTTATGACTTTAAGCGAGGATTTTAACCAAGAAACAGCATTAATTGTCTTTGGATGTTAACTTTTTAGAGATTAATCGCCTTGATCGCTATATATATCGATCTTTGTCATCGCAAGATGTCGAGAAAAAATAGCCTTTGCTTGCATTTACACCAATTGAAATAGTATACAAAATTTTGATTATAATCCTTTTTTGTTTCATTAAGTTTAATTTTCGACAACTTTTATAGGAAAAAAAAACAACAACAAACACTGAAAATGATTGTTGTTAGGCTCTTGATAATTGCGACAATTACCGACGGTACTGTATAGAAGTTTGTCCATCAAGGAAAGTTTGCATGTTCCGTGAAAGGCATTCTAAAATTCTATTGTCAGTCCCTGGATAGGTTTTAATTAAGGCTAATTAATTGATTGACTGTGCTTTTATGTTCGATATTTATCTACTGTTTTGAAAATTATATAATTATTTTTGCATTTCACCGTTTTTTTTCATTCAATGTTCTTTTTATTTATTTATTCCACTCCGATCATTTTTTATTCGATCCATGTGCTTAAAATTAACAAAAATGATTTAATAATTCTTACAAATAAAACAACAAATGATAAGCATGAAAATCAACAATTTTATAACGTTCGACTTCCATATAATTTTGAAAAGTGCCGTACGGCTAGACAATACAGTGCGTCCTGGCTAGTCGTTCGTGACTCACGTACGGCTAGAACTTTTGGCTAGCCGTACGTTTCTTTATTTTTATTTTTTTTTTTTTTGATATTGTTACGTATTTTGAACCATAAAAAATCTCCTCTACACCTCCTGTGAAAATTAAATTGTCTGGTCAATACTTTATTATATTAATATTTCCTTACGATTCAACTAGATTTATCATGAATCTAAAGATGTGGGGAAATGACATCACGCGCACCTGTTTTTATACGGCCAATACACAAACATGGCCGCGCTTACTGATTTGTAGAAATCGGTGATTTAGCGATTTAAATTTTGTTATCATTCGTTTAATATAATTATTTGGCGGCAGAAAATTTGCAGACTTATCATTTATAGTATTCTTTTTCTGAAATCAAGTTTTTATTCTAACCTTGTCTTTCCCTTTAAGATGTCCTTAAATGAGTAAACGTTCAACTTTATTTTCCTTAAATGATCATTAATTTCCGCCACCATTTAAGCTTATGATGTTACCAGATTGACCTATATATAAGTCGTTTAAGGCAGAACTGTAAACTGTATAATTGTATATATTAATTGTTATCCATCCGTCCATCTGTCCGACTTAATTTCGTTTCCGCGCTAGTTCTCTGCAGTTTATGGCTGAAATTAAACGAAACTTTAAAGGAACCTTCATTATCAAGAGGAGATGTGCATATCGCCTTGTTCTGGTCAGACCCTTTAACTAAGAGTTATGGCCATTGATTAGTTATGCAGTATGCTATTGAGCAATTATCCTTTTCTAGCCTTTTCTCTGCAACTACTGGCTGGCATTCATTAAAACTTTACGGGGACCTTTAATACCAAGAGGAGATGCGCATATTGTGCCTTATTCTGGTCAGACCCTTTAACTCAAGAGTTATGGCCCTTAATAAGGTATGCAGTATGCATATAGAGCAATAATCGTTTCCACGCTACTTCTCTGCAACTACTGGCTTTAATTAAATAAAAAATTATGGACACCTTCAATACCAAGAGGAGATGTGCATATATCGTTGCCTTGTTCTGGTCCGACCCTTTAACTCAGAGTTATGGCCCTTGATAAGTTATACAGTATGCATGTAGAGCAATTATCGTTTCCGCGCAACTTCTCAGCAACTTCTGGCTGGAATTCAATGGAACTTTATGGGAAACTTTAGTACCAAGGGAAGATGCGCATTTCGTTGCCTTGTTCCGGTCAAACCCTTTAACTTAAGAGTTATGACCCTTGATTAGTGTTGCAGTATGCACATAGAGCAATATTGTTTTTCTTTTCAACTGCTAGATTGATTTTAAGAAGACTTTATGATAACCATCAATATGAAAGCAATGATATATTTATGTAAGTTAAGCCTCCAGTTGTTGTGTTAGTAATAATCAGTACTCGGCAGCGATATAAATTCAAGAATTCGCTTGTTCTATTTAAGATAATTTTAATTTTCCAAAAATAAGATAACATGTACATAAAACGATTTTTGGTGAATCTATTTAGGTAGAGCCCAAAATAATGTACACGCCGAGTAACTGCAAGTTTCATTTTGACAGTAGTGTAAACTTATAAATACATGTGTTTCACTTTCCAATCAGATCTAATACTTTTCGTAAACCTTTTACAAAATGTTCGGCCGTGATGAACTTTAAAACTTTAAATGCTTCTCATGAAAACACTTGTGTATTGTATTTTAAGTCGGATCTTTGCGTCTGTTATACTTGATTTCTGTTAAGTAAAGGATCTGACCTCCTGTCATGCAACCGGTTTCATAATTATGACCTGTTCTTCCGTTCTTGGTGAAAATGTGAGACCCGTCATCCATTTAATTAACAATTCAATCAAGTTTATATCCGAAAGATAATTCGTTTTCATTTAGAACTCCATTACGCCGCCCTTTATTGCATGATGATTGTGATAAGGTCAATAAACCTTAAATCATCCAATCAGAATCATTATATGTCTTACCTTTTCTAATGTTTATTCATTTTTGTTATAAACATTCTGTCTTCTATATCGTGTTTTGTATGGAACTATCCGCTTCTTCTTGTAAGTGGAACAAAGCATATTGTGTCGACATGTGATTTAATATTGAATTTTGAATCGATTTTGCTCAGGAATAATTCCTTCAATTTCAGTTTTATGAACATTATGGTTTATAGTTTAATGAGACCAAAACTAATTGTATGAGGATTTACTTACATAAACAGTGATATTTTAAAACAACTGGTTCATCGGATAAATCATTGTAGTCGCCTATTTATTGTTTTACATAAATTTATATTGAAAGTGATGTTTTTATGTTGGATAAAAATGTCAGTAATGTTTACTATTTTCAAACATTAATTTATTTCACTGGTTGACCATTTATCCGGCAAATATACACTACAAAAATTCATCTTGATCGACATTATTTTCTGCGTTTAATAGTGATAATTGTCTGTCGCTCTGGTTCCAACATGTTGAACTACAATTGAATCTTCTTCAGTAATATTTGCATTAATTTCATCCATAATATTCAAATAAATGCAAATTAAACGACAAAGACTGCTAAAAATTGTTATCATGAACGATCAGTATTTTACGTAAGCATATGTGTACGTCACTTCCGGTTTCGAGGTCGCATTTCCATAGTATTTCCAAGGAACATCTATACTAGTAAATTAGGAAAAAATGAGATTATTTCAAGTTAGTTCTTTATGATCAGATATCAATAGGACGTATGAATAAAAAGGCCATTGGCTTTAAACTATTATTTATGTGAACCTTATTAAATATGTCTGATTCGAAAATATGTTCATTAATTGTAAATATCTCTCTGAAGTAAACTTTTAGGACTCAAACATTCATTTTTTTCACTAAAATAACATTCACCGAGAATATTTTACAGAACAGTAAAGAAATCAACATAATAAGTATAATAATAATAATGTGTAATATAAAAATAATAATAACTGTTTATTCCAGATAAATTAGCCTATAGCATAGAAATCAGTATCTAAATAGAATCTAATATGCATGCTTTTTACACTTCGTTTTGTTTTATACTGTATTTTGTTCATATGCCTACAAGTAATTCGAGAAATGTTAACTAGTCTTGGACCTGAAGGGGAGGATAATCATTTCTTGAAGAAAATGGACAAAGATCAGATTGGAGAAAAACTAGACGTAAGTAATAAGTCCAATTTGGAGCCATACAAATGTTTTTCTTTCTTTTTCTTTTTAATTTGATGTATTTATTTCATAACTACTAGAACTTAAAATATCTTTTCGGCATTTATGCTCGTTTTCGTTTATATGTAGGAGTGTCTTGTTTGAACTCTGGTTATGTCTACGGGTGGTTGACCGATCAGACTGGCAATCATAAGCAATTTCACTGTGCGCAATTCCTCCTACATTTCGTGAAGGATTTTGGTTTATTGGCTTAAATGGCTTATTAGTTAGGTGTGCGATTGACTTTCTACTGGCAGTTTTGACTACATTTTCCTGTTTCCTGGTTCATATTGTAAGAGTTTGTGATTAAGACACTTTTGGTTGAATTAGGGCCCCCTATTTTTAAAGAAAAAGAACCTGACTCACACTTCTGTTCTCAACTCCAACTACATTTCTCAAGCGATTATGATTTAACTTTCTCAGAACTTTTGTCAGCAAGTGTCCTGACGCATATTGTCAGTGTTTTGCGATTCAAATAGTTTTGTCGGAATTATGCCCACTTTTTTCTTATTGATAAACAGAACCATGATTCTTTTCTCAAGAGATTTGTCTTAACATTATCAAAAGCTGTCATCAAGACTTAGTGTCATCATTTTTGTGGAGTTATTTATATGTAAGTGAAGACTCGATATAGAATAAAAGACAGGTATTATAACGCTCAAATATTCATAATTTGTTGCAGAGAGAGGTATGGAAATGTAAGGAAATATGGGAAAAACTAAGTGAATTGTCCTTAAAATGTTTGGAGGCAAAAACATGGACTATTAAAAACTTCAAAACAGATGTGGTGGATCCATTACGAGTATGTTATATTTCTAGTAAGAAATATAAAAGGCTTATAGTCATATGTAATGCAACTGTACATGATTCAGCAGCATCGATACTATTTTCAGTAGTATAGTGTATATTGACCTTTAAGTTGCTTTTTTAACTCACCTGTCACAAAGTGACATGGCGAGCTTTTGTGATCACTTTTCGTCCGGCGTCAGTCGTCCGTCCGTCGTCCGTAAACTTTTACTTTAAACGATATCTCCTCATAAACCACAAAGCCAATTTCATACAAATTTTACAGGAATGGTCCTTTTTTGGTCATCTTTAAAAATGATCAAAGAATTTAATTCCATTCAGAACTCTGGTTGCCATGCCAACCGAAAGAAAAAAACTTAAAATATCTACTTTTAAAACCCAAAAAGGTACATTTTTGGCATGAAACATCTTCTAGTAAGTGTCTATCTAGTTTGTTCAAATAAAAGCCATGGGGTTAAAATTGGCCCTGCTCCAGGGGGTCATTGCTTTTCGTTATATGTATATAGTAAATATTTAAAAATCTTCTTTAAAAAAAAAACAGAAAGAGATAGAGCTTAACTATATGGCATGAAACATTGTCTGATGAGAGTCAATTAATTTTGTTTAAATACTTGTAAAAGCCCTGGGGTCAAAATTGGCCTCGCCCCGGGGGTACTGATTTTCCTTACATGTATATAGTAAAAACTTAAAAATCTTTGAAAAAAAAAACCAAACAGCTAGAGCTTAGATAATTATCATGAAACATCTTCTGGTGGGTGTCTACCAAGTTGATTAAAAAAGCCCCAGGCCCCATGTTCACAAAGATTTAAGGATCAGGTTCAAGATCAGGATCAAATTAAAACTCAAACATTTTCCATCATTTATCATCATAGATTAAATATTTCATATCAATTTTATAAAACTGGACTTAAAAAGCATGTTTATGAAATTTTAGAATACATTTATTGTTATTTTTACAAGATACGAGCATTTTACAGTTGATCCAAATTTTGATCTTGATCCTAAAATTGATCCTCATTTTGATCCGATTATTTTTGTATTTGTTTTGTTATTTGTTGATTTCATCCCAAAATAGGTTGTTTTCTTTGCAAATAAGCAATTATTTTCATTTCGAATATGTACCATTTATTTATAGCATAATACGATCAGTTTTAGTTTAATATAACAATGATAATAAAATCAGGATCAGTTGATCCTGATCTTTTCTTTGTGAACACGGGGCCTGGGTTTAAACTAGCCTCGCCCTAAGGGCCTATATACAGGTGAGCGATTTCAGGGCCACTATGAACCTATTGTTTGGTTATTGTTTACATTTCCAAAAATAAAGGAGACATAGTAAATATTCTATATGATAGATGACAAATTCTTTAGATATGTATATTATATTTCCTTATGTCACGCTGCCTTAAACTTATATTACCAGACATTTCATTTTATATAGTACTCGGAAATAAATAGTATATTTTACAATGCAAAAATGTTGAATTTCATAGTATTGTATTCATTATGTTTGTTTTGTGGTCATTTTCTTTACGTTTATTTCAGAAAATAATGGAATCAGATTTGGTTCGGGAGATATTTGAAAATGATGAGGAGGAAAGTACATGTCATCAATGTATCATCAATCCTATTGGTAATTCGTTATTTATTGAACTAAAGCTAATTGTATAACATGATTGTATGAAAGAATGTCAATAATGTTTCAAGACTACAATATAACACGTCTACAATATCATTTGATTGATAAATGTAGTTATCCATAAGATAGTTTCACAATTGGTAGATGTGGATATGCTAACATAAGTTTATCATGTAAA